CATTCGCGGGACCCACTCACAAGGATCTCTTGAAGGCACTCGCGCACTACGAACTTTCACGAGAAATGGGTTTCTTCCCTCCGATAAAGCCAATGAAATTAATGAAGCCGAAACACCGGGTAGAATAATCTGATAAGAACGTGTTTCCACCAGAACCTGAAAGCCGCTCGCCTCTTTAGATCCTTCAAGATTCGGTACTTTCCTGATTTTTCAAGGCGCTTAACGATGCTACAGTTAATCCCTTTGTACTATGATATTTTCAGTGTGCAGTCCCGCGCTTCTTTGATATTTCCTCGACTATCTTACGCACTCGTCACCATCGGTCACTCCTCAATCATAACCGAATATACTACTCGATCCAAGATCATTCAGATGGTTAAACCTCGAGCTAACTGCGACATGGTCGAGCGATTGCTACTTCTTCAGGATTCTCCATGACGCGTTTCGGCCGTCTTTATCAGCTCGCACTCGCGAGATTATATTCTCGAATCTGATATGACATTCGGTTGACACGCGAACCTACGGTGAATCTAATGAAAAATTCGCGTTTAACTTAACGACAACGACGGAATTAACTAGACGGCATTTTACCCGTAGTTTTGCTCGCCGTGCAACGAGTCGGGATAACTTGACGATGATCCGTTCCCTTCACCGGTCGGCCGTCGAGTGCCCCGGGCCTCAGGCCTGCTTTGCTCTCTCGATGGCGATGAAAGTTTCGCGCCGAGTAGAGTCGACCAGCCGAGTCGGAGCAGCAACTACGTTCAGCTACATTATGCTGCTACGTTTTCATGTAGCGTAACATCAGCTTTAGCTAGTTCATTAGACCTTTATTCGTGTACTTCTTCAGCCGCCTTAGTTTCGTTAAATGCCACGAGAAGAATAGTGAGTATTTTTGACAAGGAGAGGAGTTAACTTCAATTGAACCAGTGATTTCGTAAAATAAAGTACAAATTAATTTTTACATAAAAAAAAAACTGAAATAATAATTTTATTTTTATAACCATTACAATTAGAGATAATTAATTTTTGTAACTTTAATAAGCATATGGAAAGAACAAGTTTTGTTGAAGTATTATAAAAATTTTTTTTATTCTAGTATCAATTTGAATCCTGTACATAATTATTTTGATAATCCAACAAAATTATTTTTTTATCTGTATCTATTATAGCTAAATTTCAGAATGGGATCGAAACGTTTATATTGTTATCTTTGACAGAATGTTGAGATTTTTTTCTTATTAATAAATTGAATTACACACGCATTCAATGTCAGTTCTTATTGGCAACTTTAATTTTTGTTTTTATTTGTTAGAGTCTATATTTCTATTTTTGTTATTTTAAATTTTTTAATATTTATTCAGTAAACTGTTCTTTTGTGCATGTAAGATTGAAATTCAAGAGGAAATAGCATAGAACTTATGTTGTAAAGAAATAACTTTTAAAAAATAGGATAAATTGATGCGTTCTAAGAATAATTGAACAATAATAATTCGATAATAGAAATGTTACGTTTGACACAGATGCTACTCTGATTAATAATTTCTTGTATTAACGCATATATTATATTATGTAATCTATAGATGCAAAATGCAGCTGCGTGAACGGATTGTTTTATTTATTTAATAACTTTCACATGGATTTCTAAAATTAAGTACACCTCACTTTAAAAAAACTAATTCTGTTTTTTATAAATAATTTTATTTAAAAAAATGAACTTTTGAAATTTGATGCAAATTTCGAAACATTTCGTACAAATAAAAAATACTAACTCTACTCTCTGAATTCTTTGAAGTAGAATCTTACTCTAAGGAATGAAAATTAAGCCAGTCTCTCGAAAAAGATCTTTAAAGATTTCACTTTTCATAGTGACGATTTACTTTGAAAGTTATAGCGCGTATTATGATGAGAATTATGAAGTATTATTCTGGTTTAACACATCATCAAGCAAATTGATAGTTACTCAAATTTTAAAAAATTCATAGATGCTAAATCCTGTTTAAATTTCTTGCTCCAATTATCTCTGACAGCTTAGAAACATGAGTAAGTTCTGGTTCAAAACCGGATTAGACTAAAAAATCATTTATGACCGATCGACCCCTTTTTGAAGCTTGCAGTAACGTTGGACCGGTTCCATCGTAGATAACATCTACGAGGGTGGACCGCTTTTAAATTGTAATCCGGTATAACTGCGGTAACTGTCGATCGACAATAGCGTAACTGACATGAGAAAATAAAAAGTATTCAGATATCTATAAGTAACCAAATATATACATTTTTTAGTAAGACTTGAGATAGTCATACATTATAGACTAGAAAATCTCTTTATAAGGTTATTACTTTTTTATAATTTATTTCTTTTCTGAATACAATTCTATTTATAAAACAAAAAATATAAAATCTATATTTTTTCTGAAAATTATTAATAATAATAATACATTTCACTGTTCGACAAATATAAAAATTTTTTCTAGACTATGAACGGGACAAAGTGATTTTTACAGACAATGTTTTGTCGCTGAAAATAAATTTGTAAATAAAATTGAATCGAATAGTACTGAAAATAGCAATCTTTGGTCTAAAGTATCTCAAAAATGTGACGTGTTAGAGCAATTTTATTTGTATAGGTTCGTTTTCAGTAAAAAAATTTATAAAAAACAACAATTGCATTAGCTGCTTTATAAAAGAAGCAACAGTTACATTGAAAAGAAGAAAACTTAAATTCGTAGATAAATATAATCTTTCGACTATTAGTGCAATTTAAATAATTATCTGCATGTAAAGGTTTGTGTGATTACTGTATTATGAATCGGAAATCAAAATTATTGTATATAATTTTTTTAAACAATTATTATTTAAACAATTATCACAGAAATTTAATTTGATTGAAAATAACAGCATTCAGTTTTCAGCAGACACACAACACAAAAAATCTATAAGAATCACTTTATCCAATTCGTGGTCTAAAATCTGTGTCAGATAATTATCTCATTTATATATTTTCCTGTTTTGTAAATCTAAATAGAATTTTCGAAGAGATATTACACAAACACACAGTAAATTAAAATAATCTCAATAATTTTGGCGCAATTTTAAATTCTCCGATAGAAATATTTACAATTCCTATGAATCAATATATGTATATACATATATTTTTACGAAAATCTAGTTTTCTCTCAGAGGATCTTCAGACTGCGCCTCAAGATGTGATCAAAAATGATTGAAATCCATCATGACATCTTGACTAAAGTAACGAAGTTAAACGTACGAGGAACTCTAGGGAACCCTTTGATCGACAGTCTATTAATTATATTCTATACGAAATTTGAAGAAAATGACGCTACCTTCGCGGATATCGACTCAAGGAAAAAACACTTCAGTCGTGGTCAGTGACGCGAAGTCGCCATAGTAAGGTTACCGCTGCTTTACCGTTAATAGTCCCCTCTCTGGGCCTTCGGCCCCCTGCCATTTCTCGAATCCATTCCTGACTCTCCTTGTAAATCCGCTGCGATATTTCGCGCGATCGCGTTTCTACTTCGATGTCTTGCTCCCTTCCTTGCTCTCGTACGCCGTCTTTTTTTTAATCATCTACGTAAGCCTGGGCCCCTTTCACCTCCAGCGACGTTTACCTCTTCTCCGTAGACTCTCGAGAAACGGAGGCACACTCTCGCACGCACAGGTATTTCTTGATGTGTCGTATTCCTAGAATAAGAAATAAGCGTAATTTTATTAAAAACCATGATAGTACTGTTATAGTCGATAGGATTCCAAAAAACTGATCTTCCAAATTAAAAAAATTAATCATGTAATTGAACATACAAGCCGTTCTAAATTTTATGTCATAATTGTCAAAATTGTATCTTATTTTTCTTTTAAAAATTATATATCTTCTTTATAAAAATTTCCATTTTAGTGTCTTTTCGAAATAGAGGAATTTGTTCTCAATTTTTTAATTATCTAGATATATTGACGTACTTATATTTGAAATAATGTGGTAAAAGAGATATATATATTTAATGAAAGCGTATATAGTTTTAACAAAATTTTCTGATGAGTTAATGATAACGTCACAAATGCAGTGAAAATGCACGAATTTTCGGCTTTCCGAAGAAAGATCACTTTTTTTAAATAATAATTTCGATTGTACTGCACTTTGTGACATTGACAAGATACTAATTAAAAACGATCAGCCTTGGAAATATTTTTGTGATTCCGGAGGGTCTCGACGGGTCTGAGGCATCTCGGGATAATTGAAGAATGATGACATTACCAACAATTGATATTTTGCAACTATTAATATAAATATTTTGATAATGTACGTTATTAAATTTATCATTTTTTATTATATATAAATACTGCATAAATAAATATGCATACTTGTAATAAAATATTATAAAAATATAAATATTTTATGTAATATTTATAATTAATATAAATATAAATATTTCCAATAAGTATTTTTTATTTGAATTATAATGTCTTATTAAGTATTTTCATAGCATTTACTATAACATTTACAATAAATATTTAGTAATATTTGTAACAAATGTCTATGATCTGTGGAACCTAAGACTACAAAAATATTTACAAAATATTTAAAAAATAAATTTTATGAATATGTGTGTATAAATATTTTGTCTAAAATCGCAAAATAGGTAACATTAATATACAGATGATAATGCCTAGATGTTAAAACAATCTTATCTCTCGATTCATGTTCGCGCGATTCTTTGACGAGAAGAGCGATGTAGCTGATGGCTGGCGGACTCACTATATTATTCGATCGTTTAGGTATACCGCATGATCATTCGAATTCCCAATATATGAAATAGCGTCATCTGACAACTTCTCGCAGTACTATTTTAGGTCAACACGCGGAGCGATGACAAGTGGAGCAAAAGTAAAGGCGCAATGCGCACGCAATTGCTCCGAACTATCATCCGATGTCTCTCATTTTCATATGGCGGATGTCCGAGGGACGACGCCGGTGTCATTACGGAAAATAATTATGACCTTTCCACGGGACAATCGATAGCGCAATCCTTGGGTCTTTAATTCAATTAGAAAAATGTGAGTATCGAGATAATATACTGTCATTTAAAGACAGTCTCATTTAGCGGCGCTCTTGTATGGCCTACTTTTTTTTTTTCTTTCAGGAGAGGTCAACGTTATATCAACGCATCAACTATTGGCTTTCCACAAAGTTGTTGCTTCTATAACATTCAATGCGATAAATGTTATAATTAACTGTGTATCGTGTCTACTTCCTACGTGCTCAAAATGCTTGCGCGTAAGGCAATGATGAGTTTTATCAGACGATTTGTCTAAAAGAGAGTTCAGCTATGGCTGAAGGAACGGAGCCAAAGTCTATTGACGGCCAAATCTCGAGGGGTCAGTTAGAGATAAATGAATGCCTCGGTAACTGGTTAACGTACTTACAGGTTGGTGTGCTTACGGTAGTACTTTCTGCTGCCATGTAAAATCAAATCTTATATATAAAATCGAATCTCTCATACTACAGACACTTAATGGCCTATGTACAGCTGGTACTAAACTGGCCCAGTCCCTGCAAGCACTTCTCTCAGTGCACGATACAGTGGCACAGTGCCGTCTGACGGGCCAGTGTCTAGCTGGGTGGAAAGAATTGGCAAGAGCTACGCACATAGCAAGCAGCACTGTTAAAAATCATGTAATCACTGCTCTGAGGGATCATGAATCTCGCGACAATGACGGAGACAAGCATGTCAGTAATTACAATATTCATTTAGACTTTGTTGTTAAACTGTTAGCGTAACTGATAAGTTACTTCTGGTCTTTCAGGATATTCTCAGAGAAAATCTCTTAACATTCATAAATTTACAATATCAGTTCTGCGTTGCTTGTTGCGAGTGCTTGGGTAAGTCTATATTATTAAAATTATATATAATTCTCAGTAATGTGTACAGTTATTCAAATATAAATCGAATAAAAGTATAAGATTATTTTTGAAAAATATTAACCTTGACTGTCGTACAGATTTTTGTAATCGATTCTTTGACATGTTATACATTATCATTTTTTAATATAATTGATAATATCATTTTAAGTAGACTTTTCACATTAAAATATATATTTTCTAATAAAAAATATGCTTTTAAATAAAAATCTTCAGTAGCGAGTTAATAGACTTCTCTAGAATTTACAATATACTGTATAAAAACAATTCAAAGTGTTCTCAGTTTATATAAAAATGGTAGAAATATGTGTTAAATAATACTAAAATCAATATGGCCTGAACTCATATAAGTGAATTCAATTGGCATATTATTACATGGCAGTTAAAATATTAAAATAAGTGACCTAACATTAAAGCAACTATAACAAAAATTGAAATTGTAGTAGAAAATTTAGTTTTTTGCTTATATTTTAGTTTTTGAAATTAAGAAAATTCTATTTTTAATTGTCGATTCCAATTATTCAGGTGGCATGGCGGAATGCTCTTGTCCTCAGAGCGGTAGTGGCGATTGCGACATCGCTGCGCTTCAACAATGTTTCGAACGTCTTTACAGTTCGCCAGTACCGCCAATTTCCTCCTCGTCCACCCAACAGTCCACACAGAATTGTCGAAGGTCCCCATTGCCATATTCGTTGTTTCCTTTGCAGGTAATTGACATTTTTGTGAGCTCGGCATGCATTCTTTATCGTAGTGATGCGTCATGCTCGGCTGTGTGTATTAAGGTTCAAAGGAGATGGTCGGAAACGGCAGCAGCGGAAATGTCAGGCGAGTCCGTCGAGAGCACAATGAGACGCTGGTCGATGCCTTGGGATTGCAAGCATGTTATAGAGTGGCCACGCCAGGATGCGAGGTCGCGTTTGAGGGTGCCTCAGCAGGATCGCAGTAGATCTACCACGCCTGACTCGGTGTGGAAAACGTCGATGGCCAGTCAGGATGGTCTCCAAGAAGCTATTCAACTATTGTCTTGCAAGCCAGGTAGCAAAACCTCAGTCCCTCAACAACGGTTTGCAACGACAGTGTAGATGATTTTACGAAGGAAGTTTTGAGAGAAATTATATTCTTTACGATATATGAGTCGAAAATTGTGACTTGTATGACCGAGCCTTAATCTCTCTACGAGATTTAAAATTTAAAATAATTATCTGAGGTGAACGCTCGATTTTTCGAATACCGAACATTCTATATTTTTGTATAGTAAAACGACTTTTCTTTCCTTCGTAATTTTGTCTTTAGATCAAAAGGACATACATGACGAACTAAATATAAATTGTAGCTATCTCGTTTTTCGCGTTCTCGAATCTTACGATTCGAAGGTTGTACGTTGTGCAGGAGTACGGTCATCCAATCAACTCTCGGCTTACACTAGTCAACATATCCCGGGCGTCACTTTGACAACCTGCAATTTCGACTCGAATTACGACTCTGCTATTTGGTCGGGGTCGCGTAGGATAGGTTCACCTAGATGCTGGCCTCAGGACTCCAGTGATCATTCCGATCAATCCGGGCATCGTGATAGCGATCACAGTGTTCACAGCGAACACAGGGACTCGGGTAAGATTTCTCTCATCGTTGTTTACCGCGATGATAAAGTTGTTAATCTGATAAGAGATCGCAAAGGGATTGATATTGTGGTAATATTACTGCAGAACAGAGCGGTGCCAGCGGCAGTCACGGCGATAGCAAGGACAGCATTCACTCTCATTGCGATCACAGAGAAACCGAAGCTGGTGAGTGCATTAACCATCTCATATTTTATACCGCTAGAATGTTCCGAGAGTGGCGTTAAAGGCGATTTAGAGCGATAATTTCAGATCGAATATTTTTTTGAAGGTACAGCTGACACATTGCCGTCTCGCAAGAGCAGCTCGTCGACCGACTCTTGCATCTCGGCACACAGCCGATCAGGTTCTGAAAGCGCGGGTGGCGGGGTAAATAAATGAGTTCAGTTATTTCTTCATCTGTGAAGAGAAAGAAACGTGAGAATGAATGAGTGAAAGAGGTGGAGGGAAAGAAAGAGAGAGAAAGAGAGAGAGAGAGAATACAATGTTAGTAAATTTAAGTTTATTAAATGGTATCTTCTAAGACACCGATATACAGTGATAAAAAAAAGATGTTCGTACACTGATATTTTCACATCACAAACTTTGGATTTCGTGATCCAGAGTAATAGATAAATTCTACGTATATATACAAAAAAATATGAAAAAGAAGATTTAAATAAAATAGCTAACAATAATAAGACGCAATGCTATAAGATGATACATATAAAATGTAATTGAAGAATGATAGCGTACGAATAACTTCGAAGTCCGTGTCAGACTACGAATTGAAGATTGAGAATTGAAATTCGATTAATTAGTCTTTTAATTCTAATCCGTTTTATTCTGATTGGTCGAATGTTAGTCTTCAATTCACAATCCTCAGTCTTCAATATATAGTCTTCACTAATATACCGGCTCGCTGCGGTTGCATTCTTCTATTTACACTCTTTTTGTTATATTACATTATGTTCCGATGTTATTATAGAAACTAGTCTGTTGCTTATTCTCTTGCCCTCGTCTCACAGCATAAACATCGCTGATTTTAGGACTGCACGAGATCACAATTGTACTCGATGTGGAGCGGCGGCGATCTGTCCTTCATCAAGTTGCCGGAGAGCAACGAAGTACAAGACGAACATCCACCCACTTAAATATCTGATACTTTTACTTTATATCCACAATGTATCCGAGAAAGCTCAATTTTTGGATTACTGAACCATGAAATGACCCTTTCTAAGAAATATCTTTGAAGAAAAATATTTTGCATATTGAGAAAATACAACAAACTCAATATATATTTTTTAAAATTATTTTTGAAAAACGTAAAGCTTTTTTAGTTTATACTTTATTTTTCACAAGAAATCTCTTTTTGTTGTATTCGGAGAAATTTTCGCGATTCATTCAAATGATTCAGTGATCCAAAAATAAATTATTGCCATGATAAAACTTGTTGATCCGTGAATTCACTTAGGGATGCGATAAATTTTATTTGTGTTGTGTACATGTTTGATATTTGTGACGGCGCGAGTTAGTACGTGCATATTGAGTGTGCAACTAAAGATAGAAAAATATATGTATAAAGAACGTTATACAGACTGCTCACTTTGTAATGCTTACGGTACAATCAATCGCGATAGAGTTCACAGAAAAGCATTTGACATTAAAGCTACACTGGTGATCAATTCCTGTTATATACATATATTTTTTTTTTAAAAAGAGGTAAAATAAATAAAATATATGTATAATTTTTTGGACAACAGAATTGAAAATCAATTTAAAAAGGTACCAGAAAATGCACCATTATAATTTTAAGTTATTTTTTTATTAGAAACCAGTTATTTTGACTACTTCGGTCATTTTAATGTTAAAAGTGTTTGTCGTATATTAATTTAGTAAGTATTACGAAGTGCAGCTCCGTCTGCATTAAAAAAATAAACGTTCTATATATTGTTAAAACTCGTATATACATATGTACGCATAATCCAATTGAGGAATATCATTTCACTCATTTATGAGGATTACTCTTCTCTATTCTTTCAAATCCCACTTAACATTAAAGTGCACGAGCATGCGATCGTTATTCACGCGCTCTGTCGGATAACGCGAACTTTGAGTGTCTTCGCATGCATCTCGTTAAACATCATTGGATGCTTTCCATTTAATGACATAAGTTCATAAAAATATTATGTCTTTGTTATCTCAGGATTCCGTTCTCGATTATCAAAAGCAAAACATTTATATCAAGCTACTGATTCAAATGGCCAATGATTTCTAAACGGATCTTTCACAATAATTAAGTGTTTATTCTAAGATTATTCTCCTCAAGAGTCTGACTTAACTGTTTATAAGAGAGACTGTTCCTATCCATATTATCGATTGGCTAAACCTATTACGTCATACGAGATGTAGATTTCCATAGTCTCTCGTCATTTTGAGAGTTATACATCAAAATTCCTGTGGAGAGCTAAAGGCTTGCAAGATACTAGCTGTTGTAAGAAAAGAGTTAAATTATCCAATAATAATTAATAAGGCTCTATATGTATAAAACAATGTAAATATAAAGAGGGTAAAGAGCCAAATAAATTAATGAACTATTTAATTCAAATAATTATACATAATTAAATTATCCAATTGATAAATCTTTGCGACTTTTGACGAAGATTCGACAAGAATTAAAACAGGTCAGCGATAGAAGTCTCATTGAAGTTCATATAATACAGATAGTAGATCTAGTAAAAATCTAGATCTACCATCTATACTTGACCTTCACCGAAAGTACTGTCGTTGACTGGTTCCAACTCGGGTTGGATCCTAGAGTCTTGAACTTTGTTACATAAAGTCGCGGTTTTGACATCAGGACTCAGGAATTCTTCTTAGTTAGGAATTCTAGTTAGATTGTTAACGTGTGGCCTCTGCTCCCTGAGAAGGCTGTTACTGGATTTTCATTTTCAGATTTGTTTCATCGCATGGTACTATGATCATTTATAGTTAGAAAACCATACAGAGGTTTAAACAGAAGAAGTACGTCTTTGTTACTCATTAAATATCAAGAAAGATGATGTTTTGTGTCATTAAATGAAAAGCACTCATTACTGAATCGATTCTAAAGCATATCACATTCCACTCGAAGAGTCGCGTTCTTACCTGTTGCATATACATCAATTGTTCTAGAGATACGCAGTGTTACCGCTCGTAAATTTTCGAACACTTCATACATGTCCCATACTACATAAATAGAATTCAGTATATCTGCGTATTATATAAATAAAAATCAAATAAAATAGTCATTGTTAATTTATCTCTATGATTTTTATTTCAAACAATTTTTAATTTATTTTCGGAAATCTTAACTAGTCTCTCATTTTTCTTGTCAATAAAAAGTGTCTAAAATCGGATGATAAGACGTTTTTTTGCATCTGAAGGACGACTTAAAGACATCTTATATATCACAATTTTAGCCTTTGTGTTGCTTCTCGAGTTCTTATATGCCTCTTTTACAACTATTAAACAGCTTTTATATATAATATAGTTTTAAATAAAATGACATTAAACTTTGTTAAAATAGATGTAAAAATTAATACATCAATAATGTAATAACATCGTCGTAATAATAGCGTTTACACAGCATTTAACGTCCAGTAGTTATAACACATCGGGTGTTATAACTTCGGCATAAATCAAGTCAACTAAACATAGTAATGTATACGGTAAGTAGAAATGTTTTAAAATTGTTCCTCTGCAAGCATTGTTTTACAGAATGTCTGAACATTTATTAGCTATACTATAGTTTGCGATGTCCTTTTCCAGATAAATTTCCAGAAATGTCTTACATGTGTAAAATGATCTCGATATTCTGATCAAGAGTGATTTGTTGTACAATTTTATGGCACAGACTCGATAATAAAGATTTTCGATGTTATACAAATAATCTAACGCTGCTCGATTGCATTCTTAATAAAAAAAGAACAAAAAGCCTACATTTTTTACAATATTATATATTATATACGTTCCAGTCATATACAAATAAAACCCTCTCCAACAAGATTGTGTCTGGTTGTATTCGCATTTGGCGATACGTCGATTATTTAGATATATATTTCCAAAATCGTTTGTTAGCGATTTTGCGTTTTAAATTACAAAATTTATTAAAATCTTTTTTGAATTAAGGGCAACATTCTAAAATTAGACTCATAATTAGATTCAATTAGAATCAAATCATGAAAGTAATTCGTAGATTTATTAACTTATTATCATGAAATCGCAAACGCTAAACGATTTCCTAAAATATAAAACTCCAGATATTAAGATTGTAGTGAAGTTTCACTTGTACGCGATGATAAAATGATTTCTTTATAAAAACAAATAATCTCGTAATCGTAATTTTATCGAAATGTCTTTTACGATACTTTTCCCTTTATCGCACTTATATTTTAAACGAAAGAATGCCGAGGGAAAGCGTCGAAGACGAACGCGACGGCTAATCCTCTACGTCTTCACCTAGCACATCTTCGTCCTCGTTTTGACCGTAATCGTCATACGCCGTCTGCGTGTCCTTCAGGTCGCCCTCCTCCTCCTTGTCCCCCTGCGAGCACAGCGTGCATCTCGATTCATTGATTCCGTAGTTGATGCACGTATCGCCTATACACTCGCAACAGCCGTCGTGGAACCACCTGTAGCTCGTAGCGCCCATACTCTGGCAGGACGCCCGACATTTGTTCCAGGAATTGCACTGCGCCATAAACGCGACCGTGCAGTTCACCGTCATCACGTTTGGCTTCAACGGATGCAGCTCCTCGTTCGCGGTCTCTGCCAACCAAAACGTATCATTAAACTCATGGCATCTATAATCAACATCGTTCGCATCTCAATGAGCTTTAACCATCTCACACAGAATTAACCCGTCGCGGTCATCCAATCAAAACAAAAAGCTATAATGACATCAAAATGGTTCCAAAATACGATTATGTTGTTCAATTCCTAAATTCTCTCCGACGAGGACGTAATCATTTAATTTAATGTATTATAATCGTGGGATAGAATCCTCTCAAAATCATTATAAAATTCATATGAAGTTCCGATGTATATATAATCCGATAATTACACACGAGAAATAATTGTGTGATGTTAATCATTTATTTAACCAAAATGATAAAATCATTTATTTAACCAAATGATTTAATTAATATACAGTGAAGAAGATTATTTGTTATCAGATAAAATGGTATGAAATCAAATCTGTAGGATGATATTTCAGCTAGTGATTACTATCTCGCTCTCCGAAGTTTCTACGTACAGTACATGGACCTAAGATTTTTTTTTCGCGCTGAATACGATGATGTTGTTAGAATTTGCATAACTCATCGGGATTAAGAATTCTAATTAGAAGGAATCGCGCACTCTCCTCTCAGTGGTGCAATTTCGATACTTACGTATATGATATTTCATTTGGTTGTCGGTTTTCGGCGTAAACACCGTCATGTCAAAGTCTACCGGATATGTGAAGGTGAGCCATCTCTCGTGCGGATCCGCTTCGGCCGTGAGTGCCTGGAAGAGCGCTGGTACTGGCTCGCTGAACTCCTCCACGTGAGATTTCTTGCTCAACGGATTGTCGGTGATATTCGGCTTCGGGCATAAATCTGCACACCCATTAAAAATGCGTCATATCATTTATCAAACCGCGTGGATAGACGGTTTATAAATTGAATACCTGCTTACTTCTTTTCACATTATACGAAATATTCCAATAAATTAAAAATCGTTAGTAATATTTAATAATTTATAATTATCACATAATTATTATAAATTTTCTTTTTTATACAGAAGTTATTTCAAGAATGACATTTACAACATTTAAAATAATGATGGATAAGTGATCGAAGAAAAAATGATTAATTTTAGTTCACAACAGAATGAAATTTCTATTTATTTTTTATTGAAATTAAAAGTAATTTAATCAATTTAAACTAATTTGTTTAAAATAAAAAAAAATTTATCCAAAATTGATGCCAACGTTAATTGTAATCCAGTCTTGATTTCCTCTCAATTTTCTTTCAGTTCATCCTTTTATGCAATTAAATGTTTGTTTATGCATCGTATGTATTTCTAATAATAATAATACAATACATCAAATAGATTGAAGAATATTGAGAAAGATTTAATTATATCCTTGGGCGACACATCTTACCTACGCACGAGCAGCACTCATCGTACAGATAGCTCAAGCACGAGAAGCAATCTTTGCAACAAGTGCAGGTGACCAGGTCGCACTTGCAGCTCTGCGTCAGCATGCACTTGCTCACGACGCTGGCGCAGATCGCCTCATTGCACGCTTCCGAGCGTTTCGTCGCTGTCGTCAACAACAGAATCCCGACGGCGGCCGCGACAAACAATGCACTCCAACTCGTCATCCTGTTTGGAATCACTTCTATTAAAATTCTATCATTTGATTTATACTACAAAACGTCTCACTTCGTGCGGATATTACAAGCTTCTGATGAAAGATAAGGAAAGTCCTTTGGAATTAGACACGCAAATGTAAATAAATGATAAACGTTCTTGAAATCTTTCAGTTTCAAAAAGTGTTTTGAAATTATACTAAATACAAATATTATATAATAATAAGGGACTTGAGTATGTTACGAAATAACAGTTTGCTGAGGTGTATTACTGTCGCAGCTTGGAATCTTTGTTTATATACATATATATATATATATATATATATAATCATTTTTTCATTTAAATTTAATCATAAATTCAATATTATACGTTATACATTTTTAAATAAAAAAATATCTGTGGGAATGGAAATGGGAGATAAGAGTGAGATGTTTTATAGCAATATGTTAATAATATCTTCAAGTTTATTGATCGTTGCAAAATATCTAAAATACAATTTCTTTTATCTAGAAAGATTTTTTAAAGGCTTTATAGAAATCGCGGTGAGTCTAACTCTAACGGTATTAAAAGCTAAAGCACAGACCTACTTTGGTCGTGTTACCGCTGAAAAATTATACCGCCGCGTTCAACGCTGGTCACGTAATTTTTATATGCACTTTTTTTCTATTCATACGTAGATTATTATTGTTTGTCTCCTCTTAAATGTCGGACAAGGTATGATTATAACATTTTCCTGCTCGCGTTACTCCCGGAATGACGTTACGGAGACGAGAAGAATGATTATGCCGACGAGGCCCGATTAAGATTATTAAGAATATTCACGAACGTGAGTCAGGGTGTCATTAAGCGGGAACGCTTGCTAAAAAGAATAAAATTTCAGTCTCTTCTCCTGGCAAGCGCTGCTCTAACGTGCTAACCCGAACAATCAGCGTAATGCTGCTGCTATTCGTTCCAGGGATAACGCCGTGCGAGGTCAACGTTTAAACTCGTTTAAGCTTTCGCAAATTCGGGGTCTCCTTGCTAATGGAAGTGGAAGTGATTTCGCTCTCTGCGCGAAGGAATTGTCGCGGAAATTCCGGGGCTCATTTGTTACGACATAAGGAGCATAAAAATGAATTTTCTTTAAAATGATTAACGTAAACACACTTATAGAAAAGATTTTCGAATGCCATTATTTTCATCATAAAATATGATTGATGTACAGACAATTGTATCGATTATTAACACGAGGAATATTTCCTTATAGAATAAAAATTCTTAAGTCTAAAATAAAATAATCTTAAACATCGGTTTTCTCCAACATATATAATCTCTGTTTATTGTAAAAGATTATAAGCAGTAAAACGTAATCAGTAAGCAAATTGTCCATGATAAAGAACGTAAGGCCATAACATAAGGCTATTACGTTTTAATGCTTAAGTTTTCGATAATACATGTAGCCCTTACGCATAATTCAAAAACGAAAGAAACAGTTTTTACAGTATTATGGCGAATTGTTAAATTAATAATAAGGAATGAACTTCAAAAGTATACTGAAAATTATTTTCTTTCTGTAAAGAAAAATCGTATTGTATTTCCATTGTAAGAACATATGTGATTCAATTTCTTCTCACAAGAAGATAACTTTCGATGTGTTTTATAAATTTATTCCATCGATTGCAAATGTTATTTTATTGAAAATCATTTCCATTTAAATATAATTTGCAAGAATTTTTATTCTATATTTCTTTGTTTTACAATTTGAAAACAGGTGACTAAACAGGAGTCTTAAGATTATTGAGTAAATATCGCACAATTATATTCTTTGTTTATAAAATGTAATTATATCTTTATGAAAAACACATAAACGCGCAAATTATTTTTACATTGAACATTTGGCCAGATAGCGGGGAGGGTAAAGAGACGACGTTAATCGAATGCAAAACGATCGTTCGTAGATTAATTGCACCTTTCAATCGCGCCCGTTAAGAATCTATTTATATCACGTATAATCGCGTCCTACAATATCTCGGTTGAATTATTATTGGAAAAGAATTCCACACTACACAACGACCTGTTACACGCGATGATTGAAAAGACACGACCGACTCGATCTCGTACATGCCGCGCTAGCGACTTTCATGCTCGCTCTCCACATGCTTTTATATCTTCTGTTTTAATACGCTATTAAAAGTCACTAAGAATGAATGTCAGAATTCAGAAAGAAAGAAACATATTCATATCCGTGTTCATGAAATTATTAAAAATTCGTTAAAAATTGTAACAACCTGATGATCTTACCCTATCAAGCGAAGTTTGATCCTTGACACGCACAAAATTTTTTTTAACATTAGACCACACAAATGTACAGCATATAACTTTCTTTTTTTTTACACAGGTATTTGAAGCACAAATATACTTTTTACACACTTCTGTATTTACAACTTAAATTGCACATCTTCACATTTGCGATTTACATTTTTAGTATTTACATTTGTAGTTTACACGTTAACTTGTTTTATAATCAGCTTTTCATAAAACTTTCTTTCCGACGCACTTTAGTTTTTAATAAATTTATTTTTATTTTGCCACAGCGGATGACGGGTGCTTCTAAGTAACTGTGTGTGAATTTATTTACTACGAATGTAATTCTTCGATTGCGCGCCGAAATTTTTTCAGATTTGAAACGCAACACTAATAAACTACCGCAGTGATATCAAGAGTTAAATTGACTAACAATTTAACAATTATTGATGCTGTTTACTCATCTTATATCGATTTTACTAATCTTGAATAACGTGTTAAAAACTGCAAATAATTAAAAATATTTTTATTTTATTTTTATGTACACCTTTTTGTAATACATTTTATTATTTATTCGTACATTTTAAATTACTTATTAAACTATTTCGTTTTACTATCCCCTCGTTATTTCGCATACCGACCGCATACCGAATGACAGGACCCACCAAGGCAGATTCTTGTGGACGACTAATCATGAAGATTTTAAGAAACCCAGAAACGACTGTAGTTTTAAAGGTAGGAAATCCCCACTCCAATTTCGAGACGGTCCTAAGTCATTCGTAAATGAAGGCACACCCACCACTGTGGAACGGTTTACGACGGCTTCCAGGTAATTATCTATTATGTTTTTTTATAAGTCGGCATAAGCAATCACACTTCGGTGATTTAAGTTACTTAAATACCTCCATCATACAAATCTCGATTCGTGAAAAGCCCGTCGAAAAGATCGCACGATAATTAAATTAATCACATTATTTTATCTATGCGTCAAATTGGAGATTAAAAGCTTCGAAAATATTTATTACTTTTGCTGAAAAGTATAATGCCGCTGTATAACGACTTAATTAAAACAAAAGGCGGACTATTTTTTAAATCTTATTGTAAGCGGTGATGCACCAGATATCCGGGAAGGATTTCCGAATATCTAATTTCGGGTAAATATATCCGGCTGAAACTTTATGTTGAAATGACGTGTATAATGGTATAAATATCTGAAAACTTTTATTATCAGTGATATATCCAGCGCCGGATATTTGCCATGTATCTAGTAATTTTAAAAAAATATATCAGCGATAATAAAAATTTTCTGGTATTCATACCATTATACATGTTATTTCGACATAAAGTTTCGATCGAATATATTACTATAGAAATCAGATATCCGACAATCCTTCTCTGATATTTGGTGCATTTCTTATTCATGATGGTATAGTGAATCTGAATAGCAAAAGTTACCCGGGTTATTTTGCTTTCTCCGTGTCAAATTGATATCCTTTGTATGATTCCTTTTGGACTACGTTCCACACTTTGGTTAGTATTGACTCGGATTTAAGACACAGTACAAACGTTTGAATTTCTAGAAGAGGGACATTTCTATTTTCTGCTGTGTTAATCGCTACTGTGGATTATGGCGCATTTTGGAAACTATACATCCGGGTTCCATCAGGTCAAAAGAAACTTCTTAAAAGCGATTTAAAAGCTTTCAACTAATCAATTCAGGGATTATCTGTCAAAACGGTTGACAGATATTTTCTGGTTTTTCGCTTGTTTGTCGAAACAATATGAAATGCTATCCTTTTGTACCACCGAGAGAATAAATATAACGTTAGTCGACCGTTAAAGTATGGGAAAAATTTTTCTATAATTTGTAATTCTGTCTATTCATCGCGATTGATTTAATACAGATCTCCTGTATTATTTTTTTAATATTCTTACTAAAATAGATAAGGAAAAAAAAATATGGAGTAAGTTAAGGAATGAAGATTTATAGATGTTAAGGTTCTAAGGAAATTGTGAAAAAGGAAAAATAAGAAGATAAAGAAAAGAAAGAAGAATTAGGACAAAGATTCAAGCATAGGATAGGAAAGATCGAAATCTATTGACACAAAAAGCAAGTTGGCATTATGTATCCATTTATAGTATACAATGGAAAAGTTATCGCAAAATACCTCTTTTAAAATGTAGATTTTTCCTAAATTTTATTTAAATTAAACAAGTATCACGATAAAAAAAGGAGAAAAATCTAATTTAAGAGGAAGGAAGTAAATTTTTTGAGCAAATAAATTTTATAATTTTGTATTAATGTTCTTCTTCTTCTTATATATGTATACAATACATACTAAATAGAAATTAAAAATACAGGTCTTGGATATTAATAAAAAAGAAAAATCAACTTCACAATTCAATGTTTAAAGGTAAAACGCGTTAACTCACTCAGTAATAATCATTATATCGGTACAAGTTGACCTAAGTCAACCTTATTGTTTATGAAATTAATTTTAGATCATTATATTATAAACTATTTTATAAACATTTTATAAATAGTATTTCGGAGATCAATTATTTATTATAAAATTTTCTTTTTTGTCCAGAATTTCAATATTCTTCCACTCAAATTTATGATGCAATTTATGGTTCGTTATCAGGAGATGTAGTCTTATTTATATGTTGACGGTGTTCATTAATCTTCGGTGTTTGAATTAGGAGATGTAGTCTTATTTATATGTTGA